TTTTTTTCCAAAAACAGAGGGTCTGAGGAGGTCGGCCCGGCGTCTAAGACTAGGTTTCAGACTCTAAGATCCTACCCGGGTATTACAAATTAGTCACTTTAAACTCGGCTTCCAATCTACTTTAAAATCCTTAATCAATATTGTTGCTGATTTTCAATGAATAGTTGTAAATATCGTACAAATTCTGGATTCACATGTATTGTAAGGCTCAGGACAGTCTGAAGCTTTCTCGCATTCTGCTAAAAACATGAAAGAAACTTTTAGTTTACATCATGATCAGAAATTTTAAGGAAATGTAAAAATGTTATAGTACATTTTTAAACATTAGTCGTAAAATGGTGCTGTGGCATTAACCACCTTCACAGATGTAAATGACGTAAAATAAGAATTTAGAAGTTATCTAATTATAGAATATTTAAAACACCTTTTAAAGAGACAGTACCTGGTTTCGGAAGATAATCTTCTTTATCCTCATCTTTAGTTTCCACAAGATAGGTTTTAGGCTCACCTTCATCCTCTAAATAATATACATTTTCATTAAAAACTAAAAAAAATGCTCTCCCTACTAGGGGGGGGGGGTCCCCTGTAGATTGAAAAGCTAGAAAGAATGGTGAATATTAATATATAAAGGGTGGGCAACTAGGGTAGGGGAGGGAACCCAATATACTATATACATCACTCAACTCTGTCATGATCTTGATTTAGGCCATCTTTTAGCTTATTTAGCCAATTGAGAAAAAAATACCAAAATTTTTCTTTGGCGCTTTGCACATTATTTCTAATAAGATTTCTAATTATTATTTACTGTTACAATACTTACATTTAAGATTATAAAAAACTAAGATCCTAAGAAACTGAATATTAATATATAAGAATATCAAGAAATAATAAGCGTTACATGAGACTATTAGGACTTTTGCAGACCATAAGAGGAGAACAGGGGTAAGCCCCTTACTGGCAAACAAGAGTAGAGGGACTACAGAAAGACTATATATGGATGGACAGACGGAAGATACTTCCAGGAACAATATACTGCTTAGGACTGCACAGACCTACAATTAAGAAGGTACTTAATAGTTGCCAATGATAAATCAGAGACTAACAGACATTAAGTTTGTTTTTAATCTTTGTGAAGAAACAATCTCAAGAACTGACGAGGGTCAACCCAGACCGAAATATATTTTCAATAAATGTGGAACTAACATCTACTCTTTTACTCTACAGAGATTTGGTCCATCACCATCACTGAATTTTAAATCATTAAGAAATCAATAAAAGACAGAAGAACAGAATTGGTTTGCACTTAGCTCACACATTCAACATTTTGGCTCATGTCACTTTACAGCTGTTTAAAGTATAATTTTTAAAAGGACAAAAACAAGTCAAAGGGTATAATAAGAAATTGGTTTGGTATATATTAAGAACAGATCCAAACCTGCAATAATTGAGAAATTCATTTTTTTCAACTTCAAACTATTAAAACAGAAATTTCATTCTGAATAATTTGTCGATATTGTCAAACCGTTCAAAAATAATTTTTTCGTTCCCCACTAGGGCTAGTTGTTTATACATTAAGATTCTCTAAAAATGTAGTTTTTTTTGGCTCCAGCATTTCCTTTTTTTATCAATTCACACGTTCCTGTTCAGCAACAGGGCACGCGGTTATATATTTGTCATTATATAGTTTGCAAGCAATTTTTTAGCCAATTAAAATTTTTTTCCTTCTTTTATTTAAGCTAGCAGTTTTTCTCTGAATGATCCAAAGAGGAAGGGAGTGCAGAGGCCCCATGATCCCCTTCCTGTTTGGATCATTCAGAGAAAAACTGCTAGCTTAAATAAAAGAAGGAAAAAAGAAACAGCATCCCTTTGTTTAAGGTTCTCCTAGATCTAGAGGCATTATCTTCTAATTTATCTTTTTTCAATTTATCTTCCTGCATTTTTGGGATAAATCTTACAAATGGAACACTTCTGTTAACTAGTTATAGATGTTTGTTGACCAGTTTAAGCATTACTTTGGTTCCTTTAACTTAATTTCAGCTTTATTCTTCCTCAAGAACTGTTCTCTGGTGCACTCTGGCATTTGTACCCTCTGGTACTCTGCATACTCTGGTATTCTGTATACTCCGGAATTCTGTACTCTCTGGTACTCTGTACTCTCTGGTAGTCTGTACGCTTTGGTATATTTAAGTAATATCAATCCAGATACAACTCTCTCTGTATTTTTTTTACAGACATTAATTCAGAGAACTGGTTTTGTTTTCTCGTCTAGCTCCTGCATCTTGCTCTGACAATGATTTCTCTTGACAAAAAGTTTTATTCTTTTCAACTTTTCTCTTGTTCACATATTCAATTTCAGGAAAGTCCTACTCTATGCTGGAAGAGCTGCTGCTATCTTCAGAGTTCTCCTGGATTGTTTTCTAGACTTTGTTAATCCAGTTCCTCCAAGTATATCCTTACGAGAACATTTCATGCTGAATTTTTACCGTCATCAACTGATAATTGAAAAATTGACTGAGCCATTTAGCTCCACAGTTAAAGCACTGGTCATTTTCATCTTCGGCTTCTTAGTTGATATTGTTGATCTCCGCTGGGGATGTGTTCCTTTGATCCAGGCTGTTAACATGAGCACTGAGCAGGGTTGGGCTTGCCATTTCTGTCTTTACCAAACAGAGCCTCAATACTTTTTTACTATCCAAAAAAATGTACTCATTTATTATTAAACAATTGATAGTGGTCCTATTATGGATAAAACTCAATCATGGATGAACAACAACAAGGAGAGGAGGAGGCTAGAAACAAGAATAAAAAAGTATTTAGGCTCCGTTTGGTAAAGACAGTAATAGCAAGCCCAACCCTGCTCATGTTTACCTGGATCAAACCAAATTAAATTTGAAAATTTCACACTTATGTAAAATTTAAGTGTTATTGTCCTTTTACAATCTTGAAAATTAGGTGTTATAATACTTTTTGTTTTGAAAATTGAAATAGAAATTTAAAATTTTATATGTTTGTTTCTAGGATTTTTGCATTCACACAACTTTTAGTTTAATAGTTTAATAGAAATGAATACTTTTAATAAAAAATTTCTTACTAGGTATGCAGTTGCCCTGTTCACAAATCATTTCTTCAGGACATTTCCATTTACCAGTCCGTTCAGCACAAGGTATATCTAGATTGAAAGATACTATTTATAGTACACAAAATGTGTTTTGGGCCACTCTGGACGTGAGATTTGAGTGTGATACCCCTGGAAGCTGTCATACTATGTAGAGAAATTTTGGTTAAATTAATTTTTAAGTCAATTTTTAAATTCCCAGTAAATACTTACAAAAAAATAGGGCCTTTGGGTTTTTATGATAATATTTTGTAATGCATACCTTTTATATTAATTTGGTTAGTGTAGTCTTCTCCATCATCTGTCCCTGAAAGATCAACTTAAAGAGACACTGTTGACATCAAAAGTTGTCTTAACTCACAATTATGAAGAAATGCGACTTTTACATCATCTTTGCCAAGGTCTATTGCAAAGACTAATCAAAAGACAGGGATTTGAAGATAGACAGATTGGTTCACTGAAAGAGGAGTTTAACCCCTAGTGGGAATACAAGCCATGCACAAGGATACCGGTTTTTTACTCGACCAGATGTGAGGACTGGACTGCCATGGAAGATACCTCTTAATAGAGCTTTCAGGGATCACAACTCCCCATTTTGCATATGGGGTGCAGTTATGGGTAACTTCCTTAATTCCCCTAACTGGGAAACAGTATAAAATGAAGGAACACAGGGAGAAATCCCCTATACCCTTCTTCCTACAAACCTCCTTATCTCTCTCCTACCTGCTCCACAACTCGATGTTAAAAGAACTATTTGGAAAGGCCTTAAAGTGTAAAAACAAGAAACAAGAAGCAAGAAGAAAAAATAAATTGAACAGAAAAAAGTGGAAGGGAAATCTCTTGACAGTAGAGATGGGTGCTTAAAGCAAGATAAACAAGAAAGAAGAAGAAAACTTTGAACAGGAAAAATTAGAAGGGGATTTGAGCTTCACATTATCTATTTTTTTCACCGATAATGAATGAAGACAAATACACAGGATGGCAGACGTCCCATCCCCCCTTCTTTGTCCTACTTGAGATAAAAAAACTGGAAAATGTGTAAAATGCCCCCCTCACCCCTCTCCCCCTCCAAGAAAAGCTAGGAATGCAGGAGCTCGACACAGTATCATGACTGAAGCAAAATTTAAATATAAACAAGGGGAAGAGTAACCTTGCCACTCTCAATATATAGAATATAGATACAGGGCTTTAAAAAATAGTTCTACCTCTGCAATTTGGCTAGCTGCAGAAAACATCCAAAAAATTCATTTATTTTTATTTTCAAAATTAGCCATAGTGTGATTGAAGGATGGACAAGGAATGGAAGATCAAGAAGAAAGGATTAAAAACAAGAAATATAGAAGTCTCAAAATGTTTTCATCTGATATCATATTAAAATTTAAAAATATTGTAAAATTTAATTAAAATAAATAATTAAAGTCAAAAGAAGATAGACAGATTCTTGATACTATGCAAAGACTTTGCAGATTATAAAGACGAGACAGTTTTGAAGGGCTTGGAGGTCATTTTGCATATCATGAGGCTCTGAAGATCATTTTGCGGTGCTCATGGTGGCCATTGCACCCACTCCCTCATAAGGCAAAGAAAGGGAAATATCACTGTTATAATAAACTCCAGTGTTTTGGGTAAATAAGAATTGAATTCTGTGCAAAGCGACAAAACATCAACTTTAAAGCCTTGAAAAAAGGCCTATGTTTTTCTTTTCATGTACAAGTTAATTTGTTTGGAAATAAGAAGCCTCTCTTTTTCTTCTTGTATGCATGTTAATGGGTCTGGAAATTTTCCTATACCCACCATTGAATTTTCTTCACATCTCATCATCATATTTAAGAGTTACAGGTAGTCATTCAAGTTTAATTCTTTGCTTGTAGAATTTAATTTATAAAACCAAAACTTATTTATCACCTCCTACACTTTCTCCAGGTTGGTCATCTGTTTCCAGGAGATACTTTTTTGATTCTCTTAAACCAATTCAAACATTTCATCTTCAAAACCACGTTACCATTTTTTTCAGTGTTTGAATTCTTCATTTTTATCACGTTTTGAAAGTACCCTAATTTCTAATTTGTTCATAGATTTTTTAGTCTTTTTTTGTGGACTTTTAAGACTGTAAGTTCTAGATTTGATAAAAAGATTATCTTTTTCAAAATTGCTAGAATTAAGGACGGCTAACGAAGAAGACCAAATAAATGATGAAGTAGAGAAATGAAGACAAGAAGACAAGTAACAAAGTCAAACCTTAAAGAAATCCAACGTATAGAAACAGCTATGTATAGCAACAAGGCGTATTTTCCGGGAGCAATTTTTTATATTTTTGAGAAATTAAACGTTTTTGTAAAACATTGTAGATTATCAGTATCATTATCATAATTTCTAATTTTTCTAACATACCCTAGACATTAAACGAGCAAAACAGTTTAATATGTACATTGTACTGCTCTCTATTGTGTTTAAGGTCCCCCAGAGTTTATTATGTACTGACAACATAAATGAATGCTTATATGGTTATACATAAAATAGCGTGTTATTATTAAACAAATATTTTATAAAACTGCTATCTACAGTTTTGTTTTTAGAAAAAAATTCTTAAAAGTATAAAAAAAGTTCTCTAGCAATGCTAATATGATTTCATAAAACTCCATTTTACTATTTAAATAAAAGGATTTTATGAAAATTATATCTACTTTACACAGATTATTCAATTTCTCAAAAATATAAAAAATGTTCTCCTGGAAAATACGCCTTGTTGCTATACGTAGCGGTTTCTATGCGTAAGATTTCTATAAAATTTGACTTCACAAGTAACAATAGCTAGTTCAGAATACTATGGCAGCAGATCAAATTTGATTTTGGATTTTGGAAGATTTAAAAAGATTTTGAAAAAGAAAAACAACGGAAGGCAAGCTGCAGCGTGCTAAAATTCTAGCACTAGCTCCTCTTCGCAAAGCAAATTGAAAAATTTAAAGAAATCAGCTGTTGAGGGTTGAGGACTCTTGCTGAAGGAGGGAGGTAAGGCAATTTCCCAGCACTGCTTCTGAACCTCAATTTACCTATTTGCGGCAGTGTACATCCCCAGAAGGCTTCCAAACCTCCCCCAACAGTCTTTGGGAAGGATCTTCTATTTATAATAGTTACTTAAAATGGGACTAATTTGATTATTTAAGCATCGGTAGTCGATCTATAGTATCCTTAACATTTGCATAATATAATTTTTTTACAATCAAAGTTTGGACTGGAAAAACTTAAACTTTGTAGATTTTGTTTGAAATTGTGTTTGTTTTTCGTTTTGATTTGTGAAAAGATTTGTTGATAAAATAATCTATTAATCAAAGCTGTTTTCTCTCCTAACTTTGATTTAAAGAAAAATAAATACTATGCAAATGTTAAGGATACTATGGATTGACTAGTGTGCTTAAATTATCGAATTAGTCTCGTTTTAAGTAGAAATTGACGATTATAATTGATGATTCATTCCCGGAAGACTGTTTGGGGGAGGTTCGGAAGCCCTATGGGGATGCGCACTGCCGCAAATAGGTAAAATGAGGTTCGGAAGCTGTGTGGGGGAGGTTGCCTTCCCTCCCTCGCTGAAGTGCGTCCTTTCGACAAGGAACATAGTTGCTGAGAAATATTATATTTAATACTACAACGTGTGTATTTAAACCTAACTTATGAAGGATATAATTTTGAAATATGATAAATTAGTATTTAAGATTTTTGTTCAGCCTCTTTAAAAAAAACCCTAATTTTTTAAACAAATCAAAAAATAATGCCCACCTCGATTTTAAAACAATTTTAAAGTTTTCTGATGCAAAAATTAATAAAATCTAAGAAATATCTTTTTTTCACTGCAAATGCAATAATGAATTCCTCATTCTGAAATTCAGGTTTCATGTTTATTTTTAAATTGTAGCTAATGAGTAATGAATGTTTTTCAAACTAAAATTGTTAAAAATGTTTAAATTCCTAGGGACAGTATAAATGTGAGAATAGAGAGAGACCGAATCATTTGATTGTTCATGATTAACTGAAATAATTATTTAAAGAAATTAATAATTTAATAAGATTGCTTATTCAGTGAATTATATAATTAGCAATATTTCAATTTAGAACGCCGCCTTTGAAATTTATCAAAACGCCGAAATCTTGTAAATTATGAGAGTTACCACAAAAAAGCCCTTGATAACAATGTTTAAAGATTTTGAAATATATTTTTAATCTTTTTTATTTGTTGAGTGTTCATGAAAAATTTCAGCCCATTCGGTCCTGCCGTTTGGTCGGCCAAAATATTTTTTGAAAATGTTTAATTTTTTTGGTACTTTAAAGGCCCCCAAAAAAAATCCGCGAACCTTTTTTACTCTCAAAATCAAGCACAAAAATGTGTAGATAAATTGTTTCTATCAAAATCTAAAATTTTAAAAAGATCGAATCAGAGAATCAGAAAATTCGCAATTTTCAGTTCTGGTATAATTTTTACGGAAAAATTGTTTTTCAAGGTTTCAACTGAACAGCGTATATTTAATACTTTGGAATAATATACTAAGAAGAAAGGAACTAGAGAATTTAAATAACTTTTCCTTGAAAATTAGACCAGAGCTGAAAATTGCCAATTTTCTGTGATTCTGTGATTCAATCTTAATAAGATTTTAGATTTAGGGAGAATTAATATGAATAAACATTTTTGCTTTTCTGAACTTTTGATTATGAAAAAAAAAGGTTTGCGGATTTTTTTGGGCCATTGAAGTACAAAAAAAAAATTACAAATTCTCAAAAATTTTTGAAAAAAAAACATACAGGAGAGTTGCACAAAAAAGGTACAATTTTGCACCAGAATTTTCACATTGGCGCAATGAAGAATTATATGTTGTATAATATAGATACATGAAATTTATATACATTAACACTAAGCTTATGTTTACTGGCAAAGCTCCAAAACTTTATATTTAGTTTCAAGAGTTCACAGTGTACACACTGCAAAATTTAAAACAGATATTTAAATAGAACTTAATTAGTGAATTAATTAAGAAGAGTCGTTAATATTCAGAAGTTATTGGAATTGAACACTTTAAACACTAGACAAACTTTATCTCCGGTTGTACAATGTCTGGTAAAAGTTGTCAGGTTTGCAGTACAGTAGCTGAATCTTCATGTACGGGTTGTTTTGCAGTCTTCTACTGTAGTAAGTTTATTTATATATATATTACTACCTGAAGTGTACGGCGTTGCCCGTGGAATTTGAAAAACACTTAATTTTGTTTAGCTTAAGTTACCCCCTCCCCTCTTCGCTTGGTTAGGAACATAGCTAAAATATGTGTATATATATATATATATATATTAGGAAATAGGTATTCATTACATGATTCGAAGTTATCCATATATATATATATATATATATAAACAAATATACACGCAAACATTGTATAACATGAAACATAATGTTGTATATTTCTTTTCTTACAAAATAAAAATAGCTATATATATATGAGCGAAGACACTTGTAAATTGATCGAATTTAATTTATTTCCCCATGGACTAATTATTGCTGAACGTGTTTTGTTTTATGATTCAACAATATAGCTTGCTGTTTTCTTATACTTTTCATTTAAAATGTATCCGCCGAAAAAAAAAAAAACCAGCGGGTACAGAACCCTCCCCACTAAAAGATAAAAAAAATAAGCTCCCCTGGACAAATTCCTAAATACGAGTCCATCTAGTATGTAAATAAAACATTTTCTCTTTGTATACAGTGTAAAACAAAAACAAAAAAAGTTTGCGGATTTTATGAAACAAAATCGTGGATTATCAATTAAAATCGAAAATTGTTGGAGGCAAAATTTTGAAATTTTGAACATTCATAAAGCTTCATGTGAAGTAAAATACACAAAATTTGGGCCCGATCGGTTCAGCCGTTTATTGGATAAAAGTAGACAGACGGACAAGTAAAGTATATATATGATGAATTGTTTAAGGTCAAGAGCATCAAAAAATGGATTGGAGCAAGCATAAAGTGAACTGTAGTAAACCATATACTGTAATTCAAGACTCTGTAGCTGGCAGAGTAATGGTAGCATCAAGGTAAATAAATTCAAAATAAAATTTTGAAATCTATTTGATTAAAATTCAGGATCAAAATATTGTTTTAATTCTAGGAATTTGGAGATCGGAGATATTATTCTAAAAGAAAAAGCTGCTCTTGTTGGGCCCAACACAGACAGGAAAATTAGTTTTTTTACTTTCAAGTAAAATTTTGTCTTAAGAACTTTTACTACCTCCTTAACTTCTTAACTTCTTAAATTCTTTGTTTTAAAAAATAAGTGGTCAAAAATATTTAAATATGTTATTATTGTATTACCCAATTCATATTTTTTTCGATCTCACCCTTTTCTCTTTTATGTAGATATGTATATTTTTAATGAGAAAACTGAGATAATTCCGTACTCCGTAGGTTCAAAGATTGTTGATTTATAGACCAAAACGCTATTTAATTCAAAACGAAGAATCTAACGTTTCTCCTCCTGGTTAGATAGTTTAATAGTACGACTTTGTAACCTCGGAGCTCTCCTTGTTTTGATGTAATGCACAAGTACGATAAAGCAAGTTTATCCGATTTCGAAATAGAAATTTCTTTAAAATTCTTCGCAATAGCTATTCAATATGAGAAGTTACTTATAACAACAGTTCATTGCAATAGCTCTTCAATCTGAGAAGTTACTAATACCATAAGTTCATTGCAATAGCTCTTCAATATGAGAAGTTACTAATAACATAAGTTCATTGCAATAGCTCTTCAATAGAGAAGTTACTAATAACATAAGTTCTTCGCAATAGCTCTTCAATATGAGAAGTTACTTATGACATAAGTTCTTCGTAATAGCTCTTCAAGATGATTAGTTACTTATAACATAATTTCATTGCAATAGCTCTTCAATATGGGAAGTTACTACTTATAAACATAAGTTCAATGCAATAGCTCTTCAATATGGGAAGTTACTACTTATAAACATAAGTTCATTGCAATAGCTCTTCAATATGGGAAGTTACTACTTATAAACATAAGTTCAATGCAATAGCTCTTCAATATGAGAAGTCCCTTATAGCATAAGTTCATTGCAATAGCTCTTCAATATGTCAAGTTACTACTTATAAACATAAGTTCATTGCAATAGCTCTTCAATATGGGAAGTTACTACTTATAAACATAAGTTCAATATTACGCGCAATTTAATTTCGTTTAAAGAGGATAGAATTGAATAAAAGAAAAGAAAAAACAATTGTAAATATTTCTAGTGGAAGTAAACCTATCTGTCTTGGATGTTCTGCTTCTGTTGAAGTAAGCCAATGCAAAATGAAGTATTATAATTTCTGAACCATTGTAACCATTACGCCCTTTCTTATGAAGGGTGTATTGTATCATCCTCTATAAATTTGGCTGGTTTTTCTCTAAATGATAAAAAGTAAACAAATTTTTTTGTATTTTTTACACACTTTATGGACATCCTAAAGTGAAAAATTTGGCTAGGAATATATTGGATTTAAAAATAAAAACATTCAAAAATCTATGAATGTTTACGGAAAAAACGGCAAAATTTTGAGTGTTACTATTTATACAAAGAAAAGAAAAATTTAAAAGTAAATTTTTTTCTTTAAGGGGGGCAAGCGCCCTGAAAGCCCAGTATTAAAAAATTTGTGAATCAATTAACTTTATAGTTTTAAAAGAAATACTACCAGATTTTACACAGAAATTTCGAGATGTATTCCAATTTTATGTTTCTGTTTTTAGTGAAAAGTATTATCTTGGAATTCTACTTGCTCCGATAATAATGTAAAATTTGTTGTATTTTTAATGCAATTTGATATTCCTAGAGTGGGAATCAGATAACAGGTTGTCTTTGTTCCTTTTTCTACCAAAGAATGTTCTCTAATATATTTCTAAACAATTTGAGATCACTGTTTTGAGAAAGTTTGCAATTAGAAATTAGAAAATAGTCGGACAGTTAGCGACAATTCACAAAAAGGGGACGCAGAATATTCCACTGTTTTCTGGTTCTCACTGTAATACAGTTTCATACCCAATTATACCAAACCCAAAATTCTAAGTCTTTTTCTGAAATTATTTTTTTTTAAATTGTCAGAAATATTGTAAATAAAAGAGATTAAAGAATTGTTTAGAAAGAATATTGCCTTTGTTCGATATGCTGCGCTCCTCTCTGCCAACCAGCATGCCAGACAAGTGCTCTGCATGCTGAAGAATGCAAGTAAGTATACACATTTTTGCTTTCTATAAAGAAGTATAAGTAAATAAACATCCAAGATATTAAGGGTGCCCCCCCCCCTAATTCATGGGGGGGGGGTGCAGAAGTTCAATGTATACTTCTATATAAATATTTGTAGGATCTTGAAGCAGAACCCGGATGCCCTTTACTGTGCCATTAAGCATGGAGCTGTTATTAAAAGAAAAAAGTCTCCTTCAAATGCCAATTATCAGGTAACAGGAAAAATTATAAGATATGATTTATATTTTAAAAATCTTTTACTTAAATATATTTTTACTTTGAAATAAATCTATTCTATAACATGACTGCCATCTAATATTTTTTCTCTTTGGTATCAAACACCATTTTACTAAAAAGACATTTTGAACTTTTCAACTGTAATGTTTCTTGGGACACCCTCTAAATAAATATCGTAAATAATGTTAAAGGGAGGTCATTTTTTAAACTTTTTAGAAAACAACATTTTTGTTCCGAATTTTTAGTGCGTATGTTTACTATAAGTTTCTCTACCCAGCTTGGAATGACTTAAGTAGCTGATTGAAAGAATTTGCAATTTGGTTGTTTATTAAGGTTAGATAATCTGTTTGCAATGTACGTAAGACAATTTTCTCTTCATAGCAAGTGGACATAAAAAATCTTAATATGTATAAATGCTTATTTGGCAGCATATGAAGTCACAACGTTGTTGGTGAGAGTGGGAAGAATTGTTATCCGCTTGTCAGCAGTAAAAAACGCAGAAAATCCTTCTCCCCCTCTCATCACACAACGTTGTAACTGCATCTTCCCCCAAGAGTCAGTTACGTTAGATGAGGATTTTGAGGGGCCATTGCAATTAAGACGACATTTAAAATACGGAGCGTATCCTGAGTGTGTCCCAACTTAATAAACAAGATTGGACTAAAAAAATCCCTTTTTAGATAATCCTTGTACTTCGAGCACTACTACTTAAAAGAATAGATGTGAAAAAGTTTAAATCTGTAATAGGACTTCAATCTCATTTAGGAACATCATTAAGCATGGAATCTTGTTGTTTGTTAGAAACTATAGTCATGGGATCAAAAAACGTCACTTTTTCGGCGTCTTAAAAAATATTTTTTTCGTGTTAAAATTTCAAAACGATTATTTTTTTCTTTCAATATTTAAGATTTACTTTGTAAGCTGACATTGTGTTTAGTTCGCGCATATTATAGCAAAAAAAATAATGTTTTTATAACAAATTCAGTATTTTTTTTTCATGAAACAAGTATTCATTTTCAACGTTTATATCGAGATTCTCATTAATAAGAAATTTTGCGGCTTTTTCAATAGTATATGTTAAACTCTTTAAAGTCGACTTAACTCCGTTTAGTCTGTGTTAAACTCTTTAAAGTCGACTTAACTCCGTTTAATCTGTTTTCTTTAAAGTTGAATTGGTGATTATATAAAGATTTGAACCAATGATAGGTAGTTCAGCCACTTAGTTTAAATCCATTAATTTCAGTTTAAATATATTTGAATAAAGTTTAATGTTTTTTAATGGATCAGAGGAAAGAGAAGAAATGGGAACGACAAAGGTAAAATATGTATTTTGCTGAGACTAACGTTCTAATTTCAAGTGACCCACCATTAGTTTAAAAAAGGGCATGCCTAATTCACAACAGCAACAACGTGGTTTCTGTTTGAAAAGTGTTGAAATATGAAAATTATCTGATTTCTCTCCTAATGCAAAAATCCCCAAATCACCTTCATAAAGCTTAAAGAACCGTGCATGAAAATAATGGAATCAAAAATAGAAAATAAGGGATGTGGATGGAAAAGAAGAGATGTGGATGGAAAAGAAGGGATGCAGATGTATGTGGATGTGAATGGATGTGGATGGAAAAGAAGGGATGTAGATGTATGTGGATGTGAATGGATGTGATGGATTGGATGGATGTAGATGGATGTGGATGGATGTGGATGGATGTGGATGGATGTGGATGGATGTGGATGGATGTGGATGGATGTGGATGAAAATTACAATGGTAGTCTCTATAAGAGTACACAATTGTATAATACAGGGTGTCCTACCAAAAAGAATAATGAAAAATTTCGAATGGCTGTCATATTAAAGTAAATTATATTTGAGTAAAATATGTTTTTTTTTTTTTATCAAAATAAACTGCAAAAAGTATTTATTATACCTTATATAGTATATGGAAGAAGACATTCAAAACCATTTACCAACTGTCATGTTTTGTGGGACACCCTGTATTATATATTTTATTATATACTGAATTATAGAAATAGCTGAGCCTATCTATTCCTTATTTTGCTTTATGTAGGGTGTTCATGAGAAGATAATACGAGTTCTACAGCAATACAAACTTCAGGGCAGGACTTAATACAACAATTGCATTAAGAGCGCTTCGCAACCTTATTTCTCATAATAATCTAATAATCTTGTGTTGTCTTCTTCTTCTTCTTCTTCTTCTTCTTCTTCTTCTTCTTCTTCTTCTTCTTCTTCTTCTTCTTCTTCTTCTTCTTCTTCTTCTTCTTCTTCTTCTTCTTCTTCTTCTTCTTCTTCTTCTTCTTCTTCTTCTTCTTCTTCTTCTTCTTCTTCTTCTTCTTCTTCTTCTTCTTCTTCTTCTTCTTCTTCTTCTTCTTCTTCTTCTTCTTCTTCTTCTTCTTCTTCTTCTTCNTCTTGTATTGAGAGTATCTAGGAATATTTCCTGCAGATGCTATGATGATGCATTCTTGTTTTAAGAATATTAAGGAATATATCCTGCAACTGCTACGATGATGTATTCCAGTATCAAAACTATTAAGGAATATTTCCTGCAGCTGCTATGATGATGCAATCCTGTATTAAGATGTTTAGGAATATTTCCTGCAGCTGCTATGATGATGCAATCCTGTATTAAGATGTTTAGGAATATTTCCTGCAGCTGCTATGATGATGCATTCCTGTATTAAGATGTTTAGGAATATTTCCTGCAGCTGCTATGATGATGCATTCCTGTATTAAAAATACACGATTAACATTCTCAGACGACCATGTGCTCACAATACTATGCAGAACTAAGGTATGACTTACAGACTAGATATATGGAGACTGCTCATCAATTTCACGGGCTGGGCGGAATAGGCCTATAGTCCTACCGGCACGTTTTGCTATATTCTGACAAAAGGGGGTTGACTGCCATCTAACCGTCACTCTTGTAATACCCATTCAGGGGTTAAGTTTTACAATTTTTAAAGAAATACTCTAATTTTTAACATAAAATTAATGAATTTAGTCTATTTTTTAATGTTTTGTTTTTCGTATTCAAAGGATCCTTAAATATCCCTGAATATAGACAGTTGTTCTAAAAAATATCGCAGATTCTAGCCTTTAACAGGTCTCAGTACTCTCTTATATTTGTAATTATATAATTAGTAAACCTTTATTAGCATTAATTATTCATATTAATTAAAGATTTATACATGAGATTGAGAAATAGCTAGTTTAAACCGGAATGAAAAATCGTCGTAGTAAATTTTACCACATTTGTTTACGATGCCTTTGTAATTTAAAGCAATACATAACTTATATTTCGGGACCAAATAATTTTTAAAATTCTGGATTTTAAACAATTGACTAATATTTCAGGTGAAAAAAGGTGACAAAATTTATCATTCGTATGCAAGAACATTTACTCCTACAAACATTAGGAACAGATCAGATTATAAATTTTTTCAAGATTCAGTAACTGGAATAATAATTGATAGAAAAATGTATAGTTAATTCATTTAATGGTGAATTAAATGAAATTGAGTCTTTGCCAGTGCCACACATTCAGATTTGTTATATCCCTATTATATCTCTATTCAACCTGATCATTTATAAAGTTTGAAATGTCTAAAAACATTGGCTTGCAAAGATAAGGATTAGAACATCAAAGTTTGTGTTAAAGACACATTTACTTCAATTAATTTCCACGATGTCTTAAACTTAATCAAAGCTTTTACAATAAATTTGTTTGAAAAAGAAAAATATATATTCTGTTTTCAGAAGAATAGGACTGTTCAGTGGTAAACACTTTAGCTGCGAATGTATTAGGTAAATATAATAAATACTAGCCTTAGAGGGCGCTTTGCGCCCATCTTCTAAATTAGTTGTGAACATGTTCTCTATGTGTACATCGTAAAACAAAACAAAAATAATTCGCGGATTTTTACAAAAAATTTCGCGGATTTTCAAAATTTTTAAAATTTTAATGACGATCGAATTTTGATAGAGACAAATATTTGAAATTTAGATTTTTCATAATAAACCTTCCCTGGGGTCCCTAGATGTCCCACAAAAAAATTGGGCCCGATCGGTTCAGCCGTTTTGACGTTTATTGGATACAAACAGACAGACAGACAAACAGACAGACAAGCCAAATTTATATAAAGATTACGCTCAGGCGCGTACTGGGGGGGCGGTACCCCTTTGCCCCCCTTAGACATGCGCCCCTCTTCCCTCCCCCCTAGAGCCAGAGGCAGGCTCTAATTTATAAAACAGTAAACTTACATATATATTCAGATTTTATACTTTTCTTATCAATCGACAATGTCACAATTTGTCCATTTATGATTATTTCTCGAACTAAAATTAGATTTTAGACTTTAATTTTTTCTTACTGCCGGTTTTTTAGGGGGGTGCACATCAACCGTTAAAAGGGTGCACAAAAAAAGGGTGTACCCCCCTAGGCTGAACCTCCACTACGCGCCTGATAATGCTAAAGTGAATGTCTCATTAATATTATGTGACCTTCAAGTTAAGAGATGGGCATACTTGATTCACAACGGTACCCTTGAAACAATAATCTGATCAATAATGTGGGAGTTAGAAATGTCATTTTAGAAAAGCGTCTAACTCTACTTGTTTTATTTCTAGATAAACCACAAATAAAATAATCAGTTTTCAAAAACAAAAACATGGATATCTAAATCATATTTGACTGAACAAAGCTTGTAAGGGTACCGTTGTGAATTGGACATGCTACGCTGTAAATGGTGGGTCACTTGATATTACGTTTACAGCTTCTTTAAGGCATCATTGAGAGAAGAACAATCACTTTCACACCCTCGAGAGTTTACAAGGGTAACCACAAAGGGACAATACTTCAATGACGACCTTTCAGCTATCCAAATATATAACACAAAATATTAATTTTCTGACTCAAACTCTTTTACTAGCCTGGGAACCAAGCTTTACCTGGAAACAAAACTTTCATAGTAAAAATCGACCAACTTAACTTAGCATTGTATTGAAACAAGCTAACCACCTTCCGGTTCTCCACTCACAATTTGAAGCAAATCGGGCTAGGGGTTCATGAGTTATGATCGGACATCCAAACAGACATTGCTACTTTTAATATGATATAGTTAATATTTAATCACTCTCACCAAACATAACAATTTTAAAACAGTTGATTCTTTTATTGAATTTATATGAATGAAAAGCTTCATCTTAAAGGGACTGTAAAGGAAAAATGAAAGGGGTATAGGCTGAAAGCTAATCACTTTAGCTCTTGATCGCCACCCATGAAAGTGATATCTGATGTTCCTGTCTCGAGAAATTGATATAAAACTGTGTTAAAATTATACAAAAGTTCATATATGTAAAATTTAGAAAATCTTAACTTAAATCACGTGACCAGAACTATCACCAATGGCAGAGCAGTATACTGGTCACGTGTCTCCGCCTGTATCACGTGACCACTTTACTGCACTGCCATTGGTGGAATTTCTGGTCAAGTAATACGGACGTATAAATAATATTATGAGAGAAAATAAAATAAAATAAAAAGAGAATATAAAACTAACTATGAAAATAATATTTCTTATAACAAAGTTTTGGTTTCTACGAAATTGCCTTGCCCCATTCGTGAAACCCGGTTTCCGATAATGGGGTTCATAACGATACTCTGTCTTAAGTTTTGGAAAGGATTTCTGTATACCATATAACTTTGTTTTCAGGTGCAAAGATCCATCGGAGTTACAGACTTTTCTCTCAGCCTTTACATGTTCATGTGGAGGACAGGTATTAGTTCTAGAACTTGCTTTTTAAAGGAACTGTACGCCTGTAAACGCTAATTCAAGTAAACCTTGATTTAAAAAGAGAAAAATTTCCGATTCACAACAGTGCCCTTTCACGCACACCCTGACCATTTAGTAAAAGTAAATTCAACCTAAAGTCTGACCGCGTCAACCTTGTTGCACCGGCAAGTCCTATTATATTAGTGTCTGCTTTATTTACCCGATGTCCGGGCGATACAGTACAGCTGAGACCGGAAAGGTTGACCCAGCTCGGAAATTCAAATGTGCTATGGCTGCCCGTGCTCTAGAAATATTCCTCTATAGCAAAATTGCGGAAGTCCCATTGACATAATCTTAATTGTAAAATAACAATTCTCTGATAAACAATTATGCAATACGCATATCTCATTTATCCACTTATCATTTACCCTTGTAAATTAGGTATTGCTATCATTGTATGGAGTGTCACTTGAAATTACGTGCAGTCCCTAATTAGGCTTATATTAAGAGACTTCTGAAATTACGCTTTCAGTCCCTTTAAGTATATTAAGAGACTCCTGAAATTACGCTTTCAGTCCCTTTAAGTATATTAAGAGACTCGACTGAAAAAAAAGATAATGAGCCTTTATGCTTGCTCTCAAGCTATATTGTATCAATTATATTTTAATTTTTAATCCAGATTTTGGCTGAAGACCCGTTGGACCTGACACCAGATGCATATTGGTGTTGCAACTCCTGCGACACTAGAATTGCGGCATTAGAGGTGCAGTGTAGAGATTAGTCCAAATGTCGTCTTTTATTTCAGCCTTTTTTTGTCCCAATTCAATGATTAAATATTTAGATGGCAGGCAAAGAGCGTGGAATAATGATGGAGACCTATGCAATGAAGAGAGATGATCCTTTAGGTAATCTTGTAGAATGTCCCAAAAAACAAAGGACATACAAAATTTAAAACTTTATAATCTAATTACATTATTAATTTATTAGCAAATCTTTCAAATCTGAAGATTATTAATAAAAGCATATTATTTAGGTATGGAAACCTTCTTGGAAAAATACAAAACAGTTTTGCACAAAAACCACGCTTTTATATTAGAGGTAAACAACAAGTACAATGAAGACGACTTTTTTGTCTAAATTTCGATTGTCAACAAGCTTTTTTTCAAATTACAAGTTAACAAGTAATCAAAGAGAAGCTTTTTTAATTGACAGCTTTTCTTGACTTCTATGTTGATGTGTATCCATGCTGTTTAAAATCAATTGATATGAGTCAAAATTGAAGCCGAAAGTCATCCTAATTGTATTCATATAATCGCCTCCCACTATATTTGCTATTTCATATTTATTGTTTTACTATAAATTTCAAATATTTAAACATAAGATATGAATTGAGATGAAGAAAAGATTTTAGTTGGTTTTATATGCTTTTAAACATATTAATTGCTTTCAAGCCACAAAATTTGATCCCATAGCTTATTAGCTAAAGCTTGGCAGCATATAAACGGAAATCTTGGATAAATATTCGGAAACTCCGAAAAAGAAAGGAAATAACCGTCAAGTAGAATTCATTTTTTTTTAATTAAAAACGAATGATATAATATTGGACCTGTTGAAGTTTACAAGTAATTAATTTAAAATTGATAATTTTCAATATAATTTTGCCAGGTAGAAAAACAGCTTAGTGTAGCATATGGGAGTTTCCCTGGTTTTCAAATAGAAACTCTAAGCGACAAAAGGTAAGTATTCATTGTAGAGCTAAGATTTTTAGAACTAAAAAAACATAGAAATCCATATATATCAGTCTAAAGCTTAGAAAACTGTTGAAACTAAAGCTCATGGAAATTCAGCGAAAACAAGAAAACCACCCAAATCTATAGAAACTTCATAGAAACCCTTTGAACTCCAAAGAAACACATGGAAAACGATTAAAACCCTTAGAAACCCAGAAACTTGACTTCATAGTAAATCATTTTAACCCCCTAAAAACGTTGAGAGAAAACTATTGGAAAATATAGAAAACCTATTGCAACCTATATTATAAACAAAGAAACCCGTTAAAACACAAATGAATCCACAGGAAACCACTGACACCCATAAAAAATCATTGAAATCTCAAGAAAAATGTAAAAAGTCATAAAAACCATAGTAAACCATTAACACTTTTAGAACAATGAAAAACCAAAAAACATCTTAGAAAACTATAGTAACCCATTGAAACCCATTTAGACTCATTTAAACCCCAAAAAATAGTATATCAAAGAAACCATTAAAACCTTAAAAAAATTGAAACCAAAGAAAGCCATCTCTCGTTGTAGGTTAGCACGGAAAATATGTTACTGTTCCCATCTTCTAGATATCCTGGATATCCTAGAACCAGGGATATCCACTCAAAAAGGTAAACTTCTAGATATCCTGGATATCGTAGAACCAGGAATATCTACACAGAAAGGTAAAATTTTCCAGATATCCTGGATATTCTAGAACCAGAGATATCCACTCAAAAGGGTAAAATCTTATTGATATCCGGAATACCCTAGAGCCAGGGATATACACAGAAAGGTAAATTTTTCTAAATATCCTGGAAATTCTGGAACCCGAGATATCCACTCAAAAAGGTAAACTTTTAGATATCCTGAACCAGGGATATATACACAGAAAGGTAAAATCTTCTAGATATCCAGAATACCCTAGAGCCAGGGATATATACACAGAAAGGTAAATTTTTTCTGATATCCTGGATATTCTAGAACCAGAGATTTCCACTCAAAAAGGTAAATCTTCTAGATATCCTTAATAAACTTATAGAGCCAGGGATATATACACAGAAAGGTAAAATCTTCTAGATATCCCGAATATCCTAGAACCAGGAATATCTACACATTCTTAGATATCCTGGATATTCTAGAACCAGAGATATCCACTCAAAAATATAAAATCTTCTAGATATCCTGAACACCCTAGAGCCTGCCTCTAATTTAAATTTTCCAGTCCCTATACCTTTACAAATTGATGATTTGAACCTAAGATATTTAATCTAACAGAATTCATTTTTTTAAACATCTAAGCATTGCGTTTGACAACATCAAATACACATAAGTTTCCTATTCCACAGTTTTATGAACCGTACTGTATTTAAAAACATGTTTTTTCTATCTAGGATTGAGCCTGTATGAACCCTACTGAATTTAAAAATATGTGTTCTATCTAGGATTGAGCCTGTATGAACCCTACTGTATTTAAAAATATGTGTTTCTATCTAGGATTGAGCCTGTATGAACCCTACTGTATTTAGAAATATATGTTCTTTCTAGGATTGAGCCTGTATGAACCCTGCTGTATTGAAAAATATATTTTCTATCTAGGATTGAGCCAGTATGAACCCTGCTGTATTGAAAAATGTGTGCTCTATTTAGGATTGAGCCTGTATGATCTCTGGAAAGGTAAAGAGGAGATGTTACGAAGATTAGGATTAAAGAAAGATGATTCTAAGTATAAAAGGTAGGCTGGAAAAATTATCATTATTAAATTTTTCATATAAAACTCCATTGGTATTATACCACACTCATCTACAGTGATAACGAAGACGACTTTAATAATAAATTTATGACCTTCAAAAGTCCAATGAGCGTTCAACGCAGCAATTGTGCAGTGTAAACAGACCTATTTCATTAGGTTGGTGATTTAATAGTGTCTGATAAAATCATTCGTTGTGTAAGAACATCAAATACACTGAGGTAATGCATTAATGTCGTCTTCTTATTTTTTTGTTTATGGTTATCACTGTATAATCGCATTATTATCAGAGGTTACTTAGATACCTCTATTTTTATTCTACCGGAGACCCCATTTTTCTATCAGAGACCCCTGTATTCTATCGGAGACCCCCTGTCTTCTACCGGAGACCCCATGTATTCTATCGGAGACCCCTGTATTCTATCGGAGACCCCCTGTATTCTATCGGAGACCCCTGTATTCTATCGGAGACCCCCTGTATTCTATCGGAGACCCCTGTATTCTATCGGAGACCCCCTGTATTCTATCGGAGACCCCTGTATTCTATCGGAGACCCCCTGTATTTTATCGAAGACCCCTGTATTCTATCGGCGACCCCTGTATTATATCGGAGACCCCCTGTAATCTATCAGAGACCCTCTGTGTTCTACCGAAAAACCCCTGTTTTCTATCGGAGACTCCCTGTATTCTACCGAAGGCCCCATGTATTCCATCGGAGACCCCCTGTATTCTATCGGAGACACTCTGTATTCTACCGAAGACCCCTGTATTCTATCGGAGACCCCCTGTATAATATCGGAGACCCCTGTATTCTATCGGAGACCCCTGTATTCTATCAGAGATCCCCTGTATTCTATCAGAGACCCCCTGTATTCTATCGGAGACCCCTCGGAGACCCCTTGTATTGAATCGGAGACCGCTGTATTCCATCGGAGACCCCCTGTATTATATCGGAGACCCCTGTATTCTATCGGAGTCCCCTGTATTCTATCAGAGACCCCCTGTATTCTATCGGAGACCCATCGGAGACCCCTTGTATTGTATCGGAGACCGCTGTATTCCATCGGAGACCCCCTGTATTCTATCGGAGACACTCTGTATTTTACTGAAGACCCCCTGTATTCTATCGGAGACCCCCTGTATAATATCGGAGACCCCTGTATTCTATTAGAGATCCCCTGTATTCTATCAGAGACCCCCTGTATTCTATCGGAGACCCCTTGTATTGTATCGGAGACCCTCCTTTGACACTCTGTATTTCTTTGGAGACCCCCTGTATTTCATCGGTTCACTTCATATGCATTAGAACAATATTGTTTTAATTATCGTAAAGATTTATTTACACACAGTAGCGGTTGAACGAGTGGTTGTGATATAAAAGTTTAGGCTCTTTCCAGTTTAAAATAAGAAATGAAAATAATTCTTCTTATAAATTTTATGTCCACAACCATTAGAAACACAAATATTTTATTTATTTTAATAAAAATCACGCAATTTTTATCACGTTTTGGTCTTTAACCATGTTGTGAAAACACATTTTCAAGAAATATAATTAAAAATGTAGTTTTTGTTTAAAATTTTTTTAATTATTCAATAGGTGACATTGATTATTACTGATAAACATAATATATCAATTATTTCAGAAATCACTTTATTATCGAATTGTGAAACAGATTAAATCTTTACTTTTGCATTTAGCTCAGTTCCTGTAAAATCTGTCTCCGATAGCCAAAAAAAGCTCTAACAATAAACTATTTTCTTCTTAAAATAAATATAAATTTGACTGACTAGTGAATATACTTTGTTTAGCGAGAAATTAAAGAACTCTGCTCTTCTTGAAGAATCCCTCAGGTAAAATAGAAATAATTGTTTTAAGTATTTTAGGTAAAAAGTATTAAAAACTAGAAAATATTATTTGTTTTTTTTAAATTCTTATTAAAAATATTTTTGAATAATTCCAAGTGACCCTCCAACCTCCATGGCAAAGATGTCAATGTCTGATTTACAACGGTACCCTTAAAAACTTTATCTGATTAAGTATGAATTAGATATGCATGTTTTTCTTTCTTTAAACTGTTTTTTAATTTGTAGTTTCTCTGAGAAAATGATTTGCACAATATGCAATATATCATTTACTCTTGGACATATAACGCCTTTGGGTTTATCAATGAATCCCTCGAGGGTTAAAATTTCCATTGGTTCTAATTTGTCTCAGAGTAAATGACATTCCTTTGCAAGAACTGGTTTTCACCTGAGTAAGCATACATAAAAAAATCATTGAAACCCGGCGGGATTTTTCATTTAACACTACGTTAAACAATCTTTGGGCAAAAAATGCGCGAATTTTTTCACAAAAATCCCCAATTCTCAAATTTGAACTGAATTGATGTATATTTTTGCAATTTGATGGTGTAAACTTAATCTGTAAATTCTGTACTGAAACAATAAATTTTAAATTCGAAAAATTTAATTAAGAGAACAAATTCAAAGATGTCAAATAAAAAATGCATTGAAAAATATACTTACAGTGTTTTTACGGGATTCAATAAAAACGTTCTTATTTAAATCACTTTAAATTACGCTTGCAGTCCCCAATTATCTTTATTAGACAAAAATATCCCAATTGTGATAGGGCCCTTTCAGATATCCCTTACGTGATAGGGCCCTTTCAGATATCCCTTACGTGATAGGGCCCTTTCAGATATCCCTTACGTGATAGGGCCCTTTCAGATATCCCTTACGTACTAGGGCCCTTTCAGATATCCCTTACGCTTATCTTTTTAATAGGGCCCTTTCAGATATCCCTTACGCTTATCTTTTTAATAACGAGGGATAAGTTCATTTCAGATATTAATTAATTACCTAATATTTCAGAATTCTGGAGTATGAACCAACCAACTCACTTCATGGCGCCGTCAAAGAAGAAATAAATAGAAAATTAAAAGAAATGTGAAGATGGACTTCTGGTTTAATAGCTTAGTATGTCTTATGCAACCTGAGCTGGGAACTTTAGAATGATGGATATCAGGATTAATGCTTAATCCTCTGTTTTTGCTAATCTCGAGACTAACATAATCTCGAGATTATGTTAGTCTTGAGATTAAATATCTAGATCAACAAATTGGATTCTAAGAACGCCAGATTGGTTTGTTTTCCTGGCTGGAAGAGCCCTCACTTAATTTCTCACCCATTTATTTATTAAGACATTAGTTAAAATTAGTTACAAAAGAATCTCAAGCGTATTATTAAATATTTTTCTTCACCAATTGATTTACAAAATGGCCGACAACAAATTCTTGATTTGTTAGAAATTGCGGCTTTCTCTCATGGGAAAGAACTTATTTTCAAGACTGTCATTGGTCAATACAATTTACGAACTATATTCCTGCACTCTCATTGGAGAAAATAATGTTGGTAGGGATATCCAAAGAGAGAGAAAAAGAGTGGATTCAGACTGAGCTGGGAACTTTAGAATTGATAACATCCTATCCCGACAACTTACTCCGAATATCCATTGTGGAAACTTTTAATTTTAGTCGTTAATCCACTCTTTTTCTCTCTCTTTGCATATCCTTACATTGTTTTCTCTATGCTATGTTAGGTAGTTGAACTGAGTATGCAGTGTTGTGGAAAACTTCTTTCGGATTCATTTGAGACATATTAAACTGTAAATCCTGAGTTTGAGCGCAAATTCGACGTTCAAAACTCCTATACTTTGGGGGTGGATACGTTTTCAGAATAAGTTTTTTTTACATTATTAAATAACGTCGACATAAAATGTAAAAAAATTCTACAGTAAATTAATAAGTTGTTTATAGGCGCAGGTTGAGAAAATAAAAATTAATCTTATCAGCGAAATTGAGTAATCTTGTTCAATTATTTGTTTCTATTTTCTCATTATTCAAAGATTTTCCGCAGATTTTCTGGAATAATTATTGAAAAGACGACAGAATTTGAAGAAATCTGCGAATAAATTCAAAGAAAACAAGAAATTCAATATAAGGATGAAACGAAATAATTAATTCTAGCATTGATTTATTGACAAATTTCTTTTGAGAAATATGTTCCTAACCATCTAATTAGATTACTGTATAATTTTTACTTTATTTTTCGTCGTCGTAATTTAATAATTTAAAAATACGATACTGAAAATGTATTCATTCCCAAAGTAGGAGTTTTAAACGTCGAATTTGCACTCAAACTCAGGATTTACAGATCTTTAAAATGTCTCAAATAAATTCGAAAGAAATTTTCCACAACACTGCATACTCAGTTCAACTACCTTACATTGCCGGTCACTCCCTTTAAATCTGCATCATACGCGCCTTTATTGAAGAAATATTGAGAAGAATTAAAAATAGACTAGAAGAGCTTTGAGGTTACAAAGTCGTACAAGTAATTTCGCATAAATTTTATCTTCTTCTTTTGTCTATGGCAGGTTAGATGCTCACATATTTTGATACTCCCTTTTTTAATACAACAAAATCGTTTAATATTTTGTATTTTTTTTTGTTATATTATTTTTTATTTTCTTATATGTTCAAACTATCACAATGCTCAAATATGTTCTAAGTAACAATGTTGTTATCGATGCTAAAATTGCTCATAATGTCATTTGTATTTCTCACATTGCTGTATTCTATTAAACAATAAAAACATTATGTGTGGTTCATTTCAAAGATTTCTTTTGTTTTAGCTAAAAGCCAAGTATATAATGAATAAAAGGAAATGGATAAAAATTTGTTTGGTTGAAATATATGGGTTAAAAAGTAAAAACTCACTTTACAACTAACCTTTGGGCATTCGGCATCTGTAGCACCGTGTTCCTCCAACAGCAAGGTCCCCTCCCCCTCCCTGTACAAAGTAAATAAGGTCCCCTCCCCCTCCCTGTACAGTGTACAACAAGGTCCCCTCCCCCTCCCTGTAGAGTGTACAACAAGGTCCCGTTGTACACTCGTTAATGAAGCGACATATTTTTTTAAATAACGAGCGTTTTTAAAACCGACAGTTTCGTTTTTCGTTTTTTCTTTGGCGTTTTTAAAAAGAAACGATCGTTTTTCAAAAAGAGTGAAAATGATCCATCCCTGCATGTGCTCTCATATCGGAAAATTTAGTGTTTTATTTATTTTTAGGTGCAACTAGAAAAACGAACACTCAAAAACAAAAAAAAAACGCGAAACAACAATTTCTTTTGAAAAGTGTAAAATTTTTGTGAACCAATTTTTTTCATTTTGTCCCCCTCTATATATTATTACCATTATGTCTCCCTAAATATTATTGACCCCTTCTTTAAATATACTATGCATCCCCCTCTATATAATATATATCATGTTTCCCTTTGCATATTTTATTATATTATGCCCAAGGATGTAATGCTAGGAATTTTATTTCAGAAGTGTACACATCATTAGTACTGCAGTGTACTGTCTCTGGGTGGTATTGTAAACACAAGACGGGGATGTCAAAGCTTGACATGGGATCTATTTTGCCACATAAAAAAATCAATGAAATATTCTGGTCATAGTAAACTATTATGTGAATTATCAAAATTATCAAAATTGAATGCTTTTAACCTCCTCGGATACTAAACGAACACTGATGCATCTATTCTTGTTTACAAATTCCGCTCAAAGAGAACTGGTTTCAATATGTACGCAGAGAGTATACACGACCGCAATTAACTTTCCTTGCATTACACCCTTGATTATGTCCCCTTCTACATATTTTGATCGTCTTCTTCTTTAAATAGACCCGGCCCTTACATATTCTTTAATGTTCTTAAAATATATTATGTTCCCCTATACAATCGTATATCATGCCCCTCTCTAAAAATTATGACCCTTCTCCCTGTATTCTCTTCTCTCTGCAGTCTCCAGGGACATGTAGGAATTAAATATAAAGAGTAGCAGAGTGCTCTAATCTATATATCTATCTATCTATCTATCTATCTATCTATCTATCTATCTATCTATTTATCTATCTATCTATCTATCTATCTATCTATCTATCTATCCATCCTTTATCTATTTAATTGTCTATTTATCTTTCTATCTATCTTTCTTTCTATTCTCCTATCAATATATGTATTTATATTTCTATGTCTATCTATATATATCTACCAATCGATCTATATATCTATCTATCTATCTATCTATATATCTATCTATCTATCTATCTATCTATCTATCTATCTATCTATCTATCTATCTATCTATCTATCTATATATCAATTCATATCTTTATAGTTATCTACTTATCAATTATTCTATCTTTCCATCTTTCTATCCATCCTTTATCTATTTAATTGTCTATTTATCTTTCTATCTATCTTTCTTTCTATTCTCCTATCAATATATGTATTTATATTTCTATGTCTATCTATATATATCTACCAATCGATCTATATGTCTATTTACATATAGCTTTCTATTATTCTATTAAATTTCTATCAATATATGTAATTATATTTCTATATCTATCTATTTTCTATCTATTCTTCTATCAATCTAACTCGTAGATATAAATTTTAATCTGTGATTCTATCTTTTGTCCACCTGACTCTTCACTAAAACCCAAGAGTACTTCAGTACGCACCGAAAGCTTATGTAGGGTTATCTCTGTTCTTTATTTTTTTTAATCCCTCTGCAAAAAATAAATCAATAGATAATTAAGTTTGAAAATCTTTGCTTTTAGAACAAAGCCAGTATAAAGAAAATTCAGTGTACAAACTTTATTATAAAAATTGTTAAGTGAAAAATGTTAAGGGTGTGTTCGCGAAAAATGAAAGGGGGTATAAGCTTACGACGAAAAATAAGCGCTTTTGATCTCTTCTAATCTTCCTTCTATCTCCTGCATCTATAAGGAGAAAATGGTTAAAAACAACTCATACAAATACAGAAAGTTGCAACATTCAACTTGCGGATCGTAAAAAAATTAATTTAATTTCAAACAGATCATTCAGATATTACAACCAGTAATCATAGATAATTTTCCGACGCATAATTGTAAATAGTTGATGTTTCATAATATATTTTATATTTTTTTATGACCTGATAGTTACTTTTGAAAACATTTATTCCTGTTTCGAGGATTTTTGATAATGAAGACGGCATTTTCATATTTTCCAGGAATCCAGCCCCAGCGAAATATTGTTTAAAAAACAAAATAAAAAATATTATGAAATATTTACTGTATACGAATGCGTCGAAAAAAGATCAGTGACTATTGTTTGCAATATCTGAAAGATTTCTTTGGAATTAAATTGATTATTTTATGATCCGAGTTGAATGTTGAATGTTTCCGAATTTGTATGGACTTTACGTTCTTTAGCGTGAGTCGTTTTTAACAATTTTCTCCTTATAGACGCAACAGATAGAAGTAAGATTAGTAGCAATCAAAAGCGCTTATTTTTCGCCGTAAGCCTATACCCCCTTTCATTTTTCCCGAACACTCCCTTAAAGTGCATGTATTTTTCCTACAGCTCTTCTTTATTCTTAAGTAACTTCTATCTCTTCTGCATTACTCTGAGCCTAGGTTAGAAAGATAAATTCAAGAATATATTCATGTACACAATTTATCACTTCAAAATACGAAATAAGAAAAATCACTTATTTGGATGGTTGCCAATTCAGTGGTTATTTTGTCGCTTATTTGGCAGTCACGCACCTCTGACCCTTCAGTAAAAGTAAATTAATCCTATATGAAGCATAAAGTCTGACCGTGTCTACCTTGTTGCACCGGCCATTTCTGTCCATAGAGTTAGGTACAGTACAAACTAGGACCGGAAAGGTTGACCCGGCTCGGAAATTCAAATGTACTACGGCTGCCTGTGCAGTGTACAGTTAGCTTTTAGAAGCCATACGAAATATTGTATATCTCAGTTGATTAGACAAATTAGGTAAAAAGACAAATTTGCGTGACAGCTCCTCTAGTTTATAGCAGGACACGGGCAGCCGTAGTACATTTGAATTTCCGAGCCGGGTCAACCTTTCCGGTCCCAGTTTGTACTGTACCTAGCTCTATGGACAGGACTAACCGGTGCAACAAGTTTGACGCGGTCAGACTTTA